AATCACATATAGATGTTCTATTGTTGTCTTTTGAGCGTATAATCTTTAGTACTTTCTATCACTACCTCAATCGCACAAAGATGTTCTATTGTTGTCTTTTGAGCGTATAATCTTTGGTACTTTCTATCACTACCTCAATCGCACAAAGATGTTCTATTGTCTTTTGAGCGTGTAATCTTTAGTACTTCTATCACTACCTCAATCGCACAAAGATGTTCTATTGTTGTCTTTTGAGCGTATAATCTTTAGTACTTTCTATCACTACCTCAATCGCACAAAGATGTTCTATTGTTGTCTTTTGAGCGTGTAATCTTTAGTACTTCTATCACTACCTCAATCACACAAAGATGTTCTATTGTTGTCTTTTGAGCGTATAATCTTTAGTACTTTCTATCACTACCTCAATCGCACAAAGATGTTCTATTGTCTTTTGAGCGTGTAATCTTTAGTACTTCTATCACTACCTCAATCGCACAAAGATGTTCTATTGTTGTCTTTTGAGCGTGTAATCTTTAGTACTTCTATCACTACCTCAATCACACAAAGATGTTCTATTGTTGTCTTTTGAGCGTATAATCTTTAGTACTTCTATCACTACCTCAATCGCACAAAGATGTTCTATTGTTGTCTTTTGAGCGTATAATCTTTAGTACTTCTATCACTACCTCAATCACACATAGATGTTCTAAGTCGAATAATGTTTCAAAAACAATCAAATCAGAGTTACAGGTCCAACTTCACTCTTATCCATCATGCATCTTTGATTAACGTACACATATCGACAGCTAAACAAAACACTAAATAATACACCAGAATTAAACATTTTCCTGGCTGGTACTTATAGCTGAAGGAATTAAATTACAACAACAACAAAATCAGTAAATTTGTGGTTTGTAAGTTGGTCCATGTATTGTCTTTTAATAAGACATTGCATTCAAATCCAATACAAAATATGAAAGTAATACAGTAGTCACAATACAGAGTTGAAATAAATATATGTAACGAATGTAGGCCAGTAAGAACTGTGCGTGTAAACCTCACTCCCCTGATCTCAAGAGGCGCTCTAGTGACTGAATCTAGTGGCTGTGGTCTTCAGCGTTCTTGTTAACATGCCTGCGTCCCGCTCAGAGCGTGTCAAGTAGGACTGGTTACATTTGGTGCCTTGACCCGGATGGGAGTGAGGTTTTGGTGGGAGAGTGTAACTGTTGTAGACCATTAAGAGTTGTGTGTGTAAACCTCACTCCCTGAACACAAGAGACGCTCTAGCAAATCACACTAGTGACTGTGGTTCTTGTTATGCAACTTTTTTGAGAAGTCATATTTCTATAGACCAAACATACTGATTAGAGATGCTCATTGGAGTGTGTGTAGTTACGACATCTACCAGCAGGTGCTAATGGGATACAAATAATTAAAGAGGATTGGATTCTGAGCTCTACCTGGTTAAAGACCATTAGGTCAGACTAAAGTTCTCAATTACACTGAATATATAACTTTGTTTGACAGACAGTATTAACTAATTATAGTAAATGTAAAGTTACAGAACTATATCTGTTCAAATTCACCCAGAATGTAAATATTTTTCTTGCAGCTTCAAAACTTGCATCATGTTATTTGAAATTCTCAATATGTTACAGTATGTCTTATTCTATATGTTGTCTATGTATTCTTTACAAATCTAACAAATTTAAAGCAACAATATGTTGTTGTTTTTTTGCCGCTAGGGGTCGCTAACCTCTTACTATAACACATGGGTAGATTGATGACTCAGTGAATAAGTGGAATCATGGAACTTGCTGTCATGCTGATGGATCTAATAATGTTTATGGATGAGTGAAAACATTGATGTTTTTAACATGACTGTGGTATGAAGCAGGTCTCGATTGCTAATGTGAGACAGACAGAATATCAGCGCAACAAACGAGTCCCGCGAATATAAAAGAATGAGGACATTTAATTCTACCGAACTACCCGCAAGTGCTGAATTAATACTCACACTGGTCAGTTTATTTGACGAATGAAGCTTGTGATGTAACGTGTTTCACTTGGTCTAACGTTACAGTATCATAACAGCATTTGAGTGTTGAAAGTTATAATGTTATTCTATGTGTTAGTTTGTTGACTGTATGAGACTAGCAGTAAGCTAGATCAACATTAGAATAACATTCTGATCATATTCTAACATTTCATCATGTTGAGCTATATAACATTGATTTGTTTTATGCACATTTGCTCACCTGTCTAATAAAGTACATGCAAGAACGGCGTCTCTGTCAAGTCGAAGTTTGTTACGGACGTGGAGCTCTCGGCATCTCGAAAACGCCACGCTGATATTGATCATCGCTTTATTTCTCCTTTTGTCCCAAAGTCTGCTTGCCATGGGCCGTAATATTTGATCGAAACAACAACAGCGTGAGCGTGCCGCTATATGTTACTCAGTTGTCCACGTCTGTAGCCATGGTTACTATGGCAGTACAAGCGGAAACCAGGGATAACGCGGATATTACGTCATTGACAGGCGACACGTGACAAGGTACAGGCACTTTTTAAAATCGTGAATTTCTCTGTATTTATACATTTTGGGAAACATTTAGGATAATGTAAGTACACAATTGAAAGAAATATATAACACTGTGCAAGGGTTTTTTTGTGGATATTTTGATACAAAAATCTTACATGTTGTACCTTTAATCAAACATTACATGATACATAGTCTAAAGATACACTTGTTTCTTGTGGTTATACTTGTATTCATTTATTATCAATGACAGATGAACAATATTTTTAGTCGCTCCATTTTAAATACACGTCCACACTATGTGCATGTAGGGGACATTGCATAGAATTCTATTTTTTTTAATAGTTAGTTAAAAAATACCATAACCTAACCCTTAAACTTATGACACATTTACTTGGTCAATGGTTTGCAGATTTGATTTTATTCTAAAAAAAAAAAAAAAACTTGCAATGTTCAAAACTCTTTATCCAATAGTAGTTTATAGATTCTTTAAAATAATAAAATCCACGCTGCGAATAAGCTAATTGTACGAATTCAATCAAATTAAACGATGTTTTACAAACAGAACACGACGAAAAGCATGCGTGCACGTGCACGTTGGAAAACGTCACAGTCAAACCCCCCTTTAACTCGTCATCGCGCGACTTTCTTTCACTTTAAACCTTTACTGTCGCTTTAAACAACTCCGACGCCATTAAAGCAGAAGAACAAAAAATGGCAACAAAGGCGGGATCAAGAATTAAAAGGAAGACGTTTATACTCAATTAAAAAAAGAGTTGGCACTGTGAAAGATAAGAGAGGAAACAGGAGAGAAGAAACTGTTGTAACCAGATTAAGAATAGGACATACTAAATTAAATAGCACTCTTCATATGGGGAAACATCTAACTGGGTTTTGTGATCAGTGCCAAATATCTGAGACTGTTATTAATTGCTCAAAATATGAATTACAGAGGATATAGGCTATGATAAAAGACATGGAAATAAATTGGACTAATAGGACATGGAGTAAAGAGTATAATGGACTGCAGTAGGAGTGAACAAGGAAATAAATATTTGATTTGTTTTCTGACTAAAACGGGAATAATGACAAGAAAATGATGACTAAATAACTAGAACTGACTAGAACCAGAAGATGGCAGTAATGCAACGTCAAGGATGCAAGCTATACCGTCAAAACCCAAAGAATTAGAAAAAGAAGGAAGAGAAGAAGAAAGCAGAAGAACGGAACACTTTTATGGATCAGAATGTGTCCTTTTTTTAGTGAAAAGTGGTGAAAATGAAGCTTTTCATTTGTTTGTTCTTAATGATCTTGTTTTTTCTCGACCATGGTAAGACTTTGGTTACAACATTTGTTACAATTTGGTTACAATCTCTCTTCCGGGTCAACAATAACAACGATGTATTGTCAATAATATTCGTTTTGAGTCCATATAAATACTTGTTTGTATGAGTGAACAAAATAGCAATGTATATAAAAGGGGGGCAATATTTGAATCAAAACACTTTTGTATGTTTTTGTTTGGCTTATGTTTACTGTTTCTTAGGTGTGTCTGGTGTTTATGACATCGTGTCAGTGTCAGTGATAGAGGGAGATTCAGTCACTCTACACACTGGTGTTCAAACAAACCAACAAGATATTAAATGGTATTTTAATGACATTCTTGTCGCTCAAATCAGTGGAGATCTCAGTAAGATCTGTACAGATGTTCAGTGTAAAGAGAGATTCAGAGACAGACTGAAGCTGGATCATCAGACTGGATCTCTGACCATCACAACCATCAGAAACACAGACTCTGGACTTTTTAAACTACAGATCAACAGCAGCAGTGGAAAGATCTTTAATGTTTCTGTCTGTGGTGAGTCATTAAACTATACTATAACCTACAATTTAGTGTGTGTGTGTGTGTGTGTGTCTTTTTTTTACAATGATATTAAGAGTTATTTTCTGTAGGCTATTATCCACATTAATCCAATAATCCACATACAGTTTACGGATAATCTCTTTACAAACTTGCTATTTAAGTGCAGTTTATAGAATTGTCTCATTTTACAAAATTAAGTTATAAAATAATTTCCGTTTGCAGTTGTTTAAACTGCAACTAAAGTACCCCATCATGCTATTTTAAAGTTTCCTATTGTTGTTTTGGAGTCTTTTACAACAGGTTTACATGAATAAAAAAGGTCAAACGGTTTCATTTTTTCATAATATACATTTGCACATCACCACATTTTTCTTGATCTCTCAGTGCTAATGCTGTTTTAACTGCTAAAAACAACAGTTGGTGCCATTTATTCGTTAAATCATTATCATGCTACTGAAATCAATATAAAAAGGTGTATCAGTCAAATATATTTTTAAAGCTGCAGTCCGTAGCTTTTTTGGGTTAAAAAATTATTAAATATGAGTCAACGATATTGTTAAATACTCGGTGTATTACCAGTCGTATGTAACAATGTCTGTCTGTCTTCATCTGTTCCAGATTCAGGTCTGTCTTCAGGAGCTGTAGCAGGAATAGTTGTTGCTGTTGTTCTGCTGGTTTCTGCAGTTATAACTGCTGCTGTGATTTACTATCGCCACAAGATCTATACACCAGTACAGCAGAATGTAAGTATTACAAATAGCTGATTTAACAAGAAATAGGAATTAATTCTGTATACAAACATAAATGTAAACTGTGAATGAATAGTATATTTTGTCCTTTATTTTTAACACTACAGTTCACCAGTGAGGTGATTAATTTTTTAATAAAAAATTAATCTGCGCTGTGCTGTGCCGAGGCACAACTCACGTAAAGTTGGTAATTCCGCGAATAACTGCAGATTTCAAACAGAGATGGCGACAAAGAGGAAAAACTGTGGACTGCAGCTTTAAGTACTGGATGCATTATCATTTGCTCTCGTAATAAGGAGTTTCTCTTTATCTATTCCAGATTCAGGTCTGTCTCTAACTGCTGTAGCAGGAATATGTGCTGCTGCTGCTGCGGTCCTGGTGGCTGTATCTGTAGCTGGTGCGGTGCGGTACAGGAAAAATATTAACAACTGCTTAAAAAATAAGAAAGCAGAAGATAATGTAAGTATTACATACAGCTGATTTAACAATTTCTGGAAATCCGTTTCAGTCTGACTGCTCTGATCGGATTTCGCGTGTTTTATGTGACTTTCTTACGGCACATAAAAAAGTCGCTGCCGAAACAATGCTGTGTTGTTGCAAAGTGCCAGAGGAGCAGAAAATGACAATATAAAGGAGACATATTTTGAAACCGGCAGAGACAACAGCGCGGAAAAAAGCTGTGCATTCCAGCCTCCGGTTCTGCCGCTGCTTCAGAAGACACACAGTCTAGCGCTGCCTCTATTGCAAACACCGCCATGTTGCGATTGCTGTTGTTTTTGGTGTATGCCTAGCCTGGGTTTCCCCATACGGCTTTTGGCAGCGCAATTTTATTCACGCTGCTAGGCAGTCTGGATACCATGGACCAGATTTTTGCCTCAGAGAGGGGACCAATCACAGAACGGGGAGGGAGCAGCAAGACGATGACGACGTCTATGCGACACACCGAAGCAGTTTGTTTATACCTATGGATCCAACATGGCAGCAGACGCGAAGTTACCTTTCGATGCAGCCTTAGATATTGCTCTAAGTAGTTTAGAACGCAAATAAATCTCTGACCCATCGTCTTCTTCCTCGTCTAATTTCTGTCGCTCTACATACGTCATCTGGTATAATTGAAATGATTGGCTATGAGCTACGTACAGGCGCATTTGATAGACATTCGTAGCACCCAATAAACGGCTCTGGGCATTCGTAAACCACGCCACGTGGTCTGACGTTAGCCAGGCTAGTGTATGCCTACAACTGCAACGTCATTGCCATAGAAACCAATGCAGATATTCCAGAAAACAAAAGAGCTTCATGAACATGCAAATCGGATCTGAAGATTTGCGGTACACAATGTGGTCAGCAATAATTTTAGATCAGGTTCCAATCGGATACACAAATAATCGGATTTGGACTGACAGTGTGAACGTAGCTTTAGTTAGCATAGCTCCTAATTTACGCACATGTTCTGTTTTATGTTGATTTCTCTCTCTCTCTCTCTCTCTCTCTCTCTCTCTCTCTCTCTCTCTCTCTCTCTCTCTCTCTCTCTCTCTCTCTGTATTTAAGCCATCAGTTCTTTCAGTTCATTGTCTCGTGTCGTCAATGTGTTACTTGAGCCTCTTTCACACAGGGATTCCGGAAAATACACTGATATTGCGTTCCAAGTATTATTCACACTGGCAGTATTTTCCTTTATGAACACATCATGTTAATGTGCAACGTGAATGTTGATCTGCATTTAAAACTCCCGGTCAAAGAGTCGCACGATGACTACGTCATTGCAACAACAATGTGGCATCACTACGACACACACCTTACAGTATTGGTCCTGCCTTTTGTTCACATAGGATGCGTCCCGGGACTAATCCTAGCAATGTTACTAGGTCCCCATCCTGAGATCAATCCCGGTACATATTTGCGTTCACACAGAATTTATGCTTTTTTTTCCAGAATTTATGCAAATTTCACACTCTAGCAATTTTATGGCAATTTTCTGGGATCAACACTCTGTGTGAAAGTGGCTTTGGCTTGTTGAAAAAGTCTTTAAGTCTTCACAGTTCCTTGAATATAGCAATTACAGACTTATAGTAATTCTCCTGCATCTTGCAACCAAGGGTTTAACATAAATGTACACTGAGAATAGTTATTGGTTACACTTTATTTTTAGGTGTAATTGTTACAGTGTAATTATATATTAATGACTGAGTAATATTAAGCAACTACATGTACTTACTATATAGTAAGGATAGGATTAGGATTTGTTTATCTTTTTTGTCCTTATCCTATTTTATTTAAATCATAATACTTACTGTACTACAGATGATCACAGTGCAGTTGAAGACATAGTGTTACATATTTAATAAAAGAAAACCTCTGCAAAAACAACAGGAGAAAAAACTATTCCAATTCTCTATCAATCCTTCTCATTACTTTTAACCTTTTGTGAATCTGTGTTATCTTACAGGAGATAACGATTACAAGCGAACAGAACAAACTCATGAATCAGCAGGAAGAGACAAACAGTACGACAGTGTAACAACATTTATAATGTATTTGCTTACATTGAAAGGCACACTAAGGAGAATCAGGAAATGATGGAGAGACGATCAGCTGAAACTCTCATCGCTCACAGAGTAATGTTGGGGTTTCAGTGGTCGGCACCTTTTAGCATTAAACAGTATATGCAATAATATAATATTGCATAATATAAATATAATATTGAACTATAATGTAAGAAACAGCAGCAGTTTTCCAGCAGTAGATCAGCGAGAGATTGATGTTTCTTAGTATATAGAGGTTTATTAACCCTCATGTGGTGTTCAAAACCCTATAACACCTGTGGTGTTCCCGGTCAAAAATGACCGGGCCATAAAAAAAACCTTATAAATCACTCATTATACCATATTTTCACCCAATCTTGGATTCAATCTTTTTGTCAACATGTTCTCTTTCAATTAGGACTGGTTTTATATTTTGATTTGCATCTGAATAATCATAGGCCTCATTTATTTGAGAGTAGGCATTTCATTTTTTGAGTAATTTTTTTAAAATTTTTGAATAATTTTGGAAATATTAAATAAAATCTGAAGAAAATTGGTATTGTTGATCACACTAGTCAACTTAACATTTTCACCAGGAATTTTGTTTTGAAACTTTTGTTTTGTAAAAAATATGGCACATAGTCACACTTGTGGTGTTCCCGGTCAAAAATGACCGGCCTATAAAAAATAGCTTATAAGTCACTCATTATACCATATTTTCACCCAATCTTGGATTCAATCTTTTTGTCAACTTGTTCTCTTTCAATTAGGACTGGTTTTATATTTCTGTTTGCATCTGATTAATCGTGGGCCTCATTTGTCTGAGAGTAGGCATCTAATTTTTTGAGTAAAAAACAAATAATTTATGAGTAAATTTGGAAATATGAAAAAAAAAATGAAAAAAATGGCTACTGTTGATCACACTTGTCTACTCTAATGTTTCACCAGGAATTTTGTTTTGAAACTTTTGTTTTGTAAAAAATATGGCACATAGTCACACTTGTGGTGTTCCCGGTCAAAAATGACCGGCCTATATAAAATAGCTTATAAGTCACTCATTATACCATATTTTCACCCAATCTTGGATTCAATCTTTTTGGCAACTTGTTCTCTTTCAATTAGGACTGGTTTTATATTTCTGTTTGCATCTGAATAATCGTGGGCCTCATTCATCTGAGAGTAGGCATGGTCAAAAATGGTCACAATGGCCGACCATTGAAAGTGAATGGGAGAGACTGAAAATAACAGAACAATTTAGTTTTCAGGAGCATGTTCATTATTTTCATGTACACATATGAGCATGTGTGCTTGCAAACATCGAGCCCTTGGACCTGTGCATGTATCGATACATTTATACACACGCTACCCAGACACACACATGTTAAAACACACAAACTTTTTTAAATATTACACACATTCTTTTCCACAGAGAGAAATTTGATCCTACCCTAACCTGCATCTAATATACATTTATCCATCTGACATTACCACACACACACACACACACACACACACACACACACACACACACACACACACACAGGCCGTGATCAGATTTTTGACTCAGAAACTAGTGAGGAGGAGGAAATTCAGGATGCATCTTGCAGTGAAGATGTTTCTAAAGAGGAAGGCACCACTGAATCGGCTACGGAGCTTGAAACAACTGATGAGGAGCAGTCTTCCAGTGATGAGGGCCCAGCTGAGGTTACCGTTTCATTCTGGTCAAAAGATGGAACTTTGTCCTGGCCTTCATCCCCACCTATGAGGCAAGGCAGGTTTTCTTCTGAAGGCCTTCCTCTTCAGAAACATCTTCACTGCAAGATGCATCCTGCATGTCCTCCTCCTCACTAGTTTCTGAGTCAAAAATCTGATGAATAACATCATGTGCAGAGCTGTTTTGCCATTGTGCTGCCACAAATGAATGACAAGCAAAATGCTGTGAGGCATTTTATATATGCCTGTGCTATCACATGATGTATATTTGTAAATGGTCCAAGGGCTCGATGTTTGCAAGCACACATGCTCATATGTGTACATGAAAATAATGAAAATGCTCCTGAAAACTAAATTGTTCTGTTATTTTCAGTCTCTCCCATTCACTTTCAATGGTCGGCCATTGTGACCATTTTTGACCATGCCTACTCTCAGATAAATGAGGCCCACGATTATTCAGATGCAAACAGAAATATAAAACCAGTCCTAATTGAAAGAGAACAAGTTGACAAAAAGATTGAATCCAAGATTGGGTGAAAATATGGTATTATGAGTGATTTATAAGCTATTTTTTATAGGCCGGTCATTTTTGACCGGGAACACCACAAGTGTGACTATGTGCCATATTTTTTACAAAACAAAAGTTTTAAAACAAAATTCCTGGTGAAACATTAGAGTAGACTAGTGTGATTAACAGTAGCCATTTTTTTCATATTTTTTTTTCATATTTCCAAATTTACTCATAAATTATTTGTTTTTTACTCAAAAAATTAGATGCCCACTCTCAAATAAATGAG